GCTGCTGTTCGCCGGGATGCAGATGTACAGCCGGCAGCTCGCCTCCACCGAGTGGCTCACGATCCAGGGCGGGCTGCTGGGCTCTGCACTCTTCGTCTGCTCCCTCACGGCATCCCCGGGGCCTGGAGCGGGACCGGGGCACGGGAGAGGGGCTGGTGGGGAGTGGGGCCAGGGTGCCGGATCAGGGGGTTGGAAAAAGGGCCAAAGGGGTGGTGGGGAGCAGGGTCAGGGGCTGGGAGCAGATCCAGAGGCTGGGAATGGGGCATGGGATGGGAACAGGAGCAGGTCCAAAGGCCAGGAGTGGGGCTGGAGCAAAGAGGATGGGAGATGGGAGCAGGCTCGGGAGGACGGTGGGGTCCTGTTCTGTCCCTTAACCCCACAACCAGGCCTTCAACAACTTGGAGAACCTCATCTTTGGCAAGGGCTTCCAGGCCAAGATATTCCCTGAGAGTAAGTGTTGTGGGAACCCAGGAGGGGAACGGGAACACATCAGTGTCTGAAGGGCTGGGGGTGCTCCTGCAGTGGCACTGGATGGTCCCAGCCCTGCCCTGGAGCTGTGGCAGCTTCCCTTGAGCTTTTTGTGGGCCTGGGGGAAATCATGCTGCGGCAGCCATGCCCCCCTGCCATCACCGGGGGTAGCCCTGCAGCATCGTGTGTCTCCTGGTTCTCCACAGTCCTCACCTGCCTCTTGCTGGCCCTGTTCGCCTCTGGCCTCATCCACCGGGTCTGTGTGACCACCTGGTACGTCCAGAGCTGCCCTGGAGGGTGGGGAGCCACCAAGGGGACCCCGAGGGACTGTGGTGACACTGGGAGAGGGGCAGGAAGCTGGGCAGGGCCAGGACTGCCAGGGAGCCTCGGGGGGTGGTGGGAGCAGCAGCACAGTTTGATCCAAGGGGAAAGTGTTGGTTTAGGAAGGGCAGGGGGGTGGGAGCCAGGGACAAGGTGTTGGTTTACAAAGGGCAGTGCAGTGGGAACCCAGGGAAGCTGTTGGGGTGACCCTGCCGTGTTCCTGCCCCCAGCAACTGAGCAGCCTCTTCCCTTCTGCCTTCATAGCCTCATCTTTTCCATGGTTGGTCTCTACTACATCAACAAGATTTCCTCCACTCTCTACCAGTCCACAGCGCCTGTTGCTGCTCCTGCCAAGGCTGTTGGCAAGGGCAGGAAGAGAAATTGATGTCCTGCTGCCCCTTCCTGGGGCAGCCCTCTCCCTATGGCCAATCCAGGACAGCCCCCTGCCCAATAAAGCCATTTCTTTGTAGCTTCTTGTCTCCTCTGCCAGCTCCTGGCCCAGTTTCTGGCCCTGCTCTGTGCTGGTGTGGCTGAAAGTGGCCCTGGAGCCTGGGGTAGGTTCTGGGTTGCCCAGGGAAGGTGGGGGTCACCAAGGATAGAAGATGTGCTGCTGGCATCTTGTCTGCCCAGACCTGCAAGGGAGGGAGATCGCAGTGGAGCCAAGACTGGAGCAGGCTGGAGTGGGCAGGGGAGTTAAGGGGGTCCCAGTGGCTCAGGGCCCCAGCTGCCACCAGACCCGCTGTGCTGGCACAGCTCAGGGGTTTGGCAGGGTATCACAGATTCGTGTGTGCCCTCCGCAGGATACCGGCTGGGTCACCGGGGCTGCCCGGCTGCGGGGGGGTGGGAACGGCGCGGTCCCTGTGCCC